TGTTTGGATACTCTAAATGTTTTATGCAGTATATTTATAATATTATAACTTTAATATTGTGGCTTATTATAATAAAAAAAAAAAAAAAAAAAAATATTGCAACTTGAATCCAGATAGTATTATGAAGGCCATTTTACAAATTATTTTAATGTAAGAAATGTACTAATATTGAATTAATGTTTAAAAAAATCAGTCTTAAATGTACCGCTTTCCTTACGTCCACTATGAAAATTCAACATCAAACATTAAATTGAAATATTACTAAAAATATTTTAGGTATGATTAAAAAAATCAAAAAAAAAGCCTAACATTCTCAACTTTTCTCAACTATCTGAACCTATCCTGTATTGACGATTAAAACAAGGTTGTCCCCACATGACAATAAAATTAGAACTAGACTATTAGCTACTTACACAAATTTTATTAACTTTAATTTCATAGTTCTATTCTTATTTTTTTTTWAATACTATTAATTATTTTTATTTATTATTGTATGCCACATTAGTAATAGAATAACCACTATACAATCATATCTAAATTTTGAAATTTAATTTCAAATTATCATAAAGTTTAGATAAMAAAAATTTTAAAAGTGTCCAATAATAATAATAAATATTATAAGAAACAATATACAAACTATTTTATGTAATGCAATAAACTTTATTAATAAGTATCTTTGTATAGATAGAAGTCTGAATTTTTTTGTACATAATTTAAGTCTAAAATAATATGATGATTGAAAAGTCAAGTTAAGAAATAGTCAACTTATGGTCAGCTAGAACAATACAACTGTACCCAATAAAACAAAAAATAAGAAGACTAATTTCGATTTTGATAATAAATGGGAAGTAATTAGTTGTTAAAAAATTACTCTACAGAGAAAAAGATTTGTTTTTCTCCTTTATAGTTAGGTATATGATTTTATTTATAATTTGAAATTTTTTTTAAATATTAAGTCAAAATACACAATAGGTATATATATTAATAGATACACTAAATATAAATGATATAAAAAAGATAACATGAGTATACGCACAAAAAAAACAAGAGTAAAGAAGCTGCCCAATGATGATCCTTAATTGTTGATTTTTAGAAGACATAAAAAATTATATTTATCTCTCATCATTTACGTTCTAAACATTTAGGAGGGCTGCCTGGGATGGTGGAAGGAAAGATTTTTAATTAAAGGGTTTGAGTAAGACCGTAAGAGAAAGGATGGTTGTGGAAACTTTTATAAAATAATTTGAATAAATGTACCTAATTATTTTATTAAAATTAAACAAAAAGTAAAAATTGATAATTATTATGACATTTTTTTAAAAACATAATTATAAATTATTTAAAAAAATATACCTAGCTCTTAATTTTTTTTTTTAATCCTAGAGGAATATGTAATATAACATTGATTAATTAAACTTCTAGATTTCAATTTTCTAAGGTTCAAAATAAGTCGTTAAGAAAAAAATACTGAAACTATTACTGTATATTAGATACATTATGTAAGTATAACCAAAGCAGAAAGATACTATGAGTAAAAAGTAAAACTTGTTAACATTTTATAAGCTAAAAAATCAACATCTTGTACCAATTGTACCCCTGTTTATTTTTATCTTTATTTTGAAACAAATGTCTGTAGACTGTAATCAAATAAAACAATTTTTTTTATAAGTTTACAATGAGTAAACAAACACTCTGTAAGCATCATTTATAATGTCCTAGGAAACATGAGTATGAGATTCCAGAGTGTCATTAATAGCATTTTAAATAATGCTATAGGAGTAAAATGTTTAAGTGTATAAAACCCAAGGGGAAAACATGTATACTTTCAAGCTCAAGAAAAATCATATTTAATACTAATAGATCAACAAATTATTTTTATGAATACATTTAAGGCATCTATCAAAACGAGTATCAAAAAACAAGTACAATTTTAAATACATTTAGCTAGCTGCAATTGATTTGAAAGCCACAAATATATAAACCATATTTATGATAATTCAAAAAATACATTCAGAAAAATTATTTTTTAAAAACTAAATAAGTACCTATTACATTTGAAGTTAACACTATTTGAAATAGTAAAAATGTAAAGTACATCTTTGTTATGGGTACCTACTATTTAGGGACAGAGTTAGTCCTGTGGTAAAAAGTACCAACCCATTCCTTGTCTTTTGAATTGAAAAAAAGGTACCTGATGTAAAAAAAAAATAAAGAGTTAAAGAGTTGGGGTAAGTTTGCATTCTGAAAACTAACTTCTAACATTTTACATAGAATGTAATAAGTAACGTAATCATATAATATATCTAGATTGATGATTATGTTTTTAAACAAAGYTATTAGCTGATAGGTAGGCAGCATCAAAATAAGGTACTATAAAATTTGATGTGTATTCAAGACCTTTATAATTTTACTGCCAAAATAATTTGTTATATAGTTATTTAAATAATTTAGTATACCTACCTAAAAAAGGATAATAAGTAAAATATATATTTAGTTAGATATCTTGAGATTCAACAACTAACATTAAAACTAAAGTTTTAAGTAGAAGAATAAGTGTGTATATGCATAAAATATATAGGTACCTGAAATAAATATGTGTATAATAAAAAGGATTAAATTACCTTGCTTGAGCTTCATCTAAAGACTGATCAGTAATGTTCATTATTTGCTGCAAAATTTCACCAATATCTTGTTTACGTGTATCTTGATCAGGTGGCGTGGGAGCACCATGGTTAGGATCGACAGATGACATCCCATAAGGCTGTGGCAACATTGCACTGGTCGGATGCATCATGCGGTTATGCTCATCCATGCTATTCATTTTGACAAATTCTGAAATTTTACATAAATATAAAAAAAGGTAGGTACTTAATACAAGTCATTTTTTCAGTTCCAAACATGATTTGAGGCATCCAAATGGAGAAAAAGTAATCTATTGACACTTTCCGAGAGGCTCAAATGGTAGAAAAATGGAGTAGCAATAGAAGTGATAATAATTTATTTAAAATATATTAGATTACATAATATCGTGTCTGTCGAGAGACGACACACCTCGTTGACGAGCATTTGGTGTACTTACATTGTGAATCGTCTGCTGAAGACGTCAGCGGCATAACAGGGCAGAACCGAAGTGATCCAGTGCGGCGTTCCGGAAGTCTAACTGAATAGACGATCGCTTTCCACAAGAACGAAGATCGCCGGCATGAAGTAGTTAGTAGTTACCTACCGTATGATCACAGGAAACGCACACGGACGTCGACGATTACTATCGTAATGATACGATCACAAACGCAGCATACGTGCAGCAGGTATTGTTTTTTTTCATTTCKGACGTTGACGAAATTTCAACGAGTAAATGATGAAAAATATCAAAACAGAGATGGGAGATGAAAAATATTACGACAATTTATCCAAGACGACGGCCAACCACACACGGGCCGTGCGTAATATTCCAGGCACGAATTTGGAAATTGAAAACAATAATGCCTAATCGATGTAATTATTTATAAAAATACTATTGAGAGACAACGACARCGGTGACGACTGTGATGATAATGACAATAATAATAACAGTGAAATTAATTCGATAAAAAAAAAACGAAACAAAACAAAACAAAACAAAAGAAATATGGCCGTAACGCGAAACGGTACGGTCGAGACGCGGACAACTGGGATTGAGAGCTGTCTCGGCGCCGGTGGCAGAGCGGTTCCAGATTTCCCAGTGCCCGGGGATGGTGGAGGGGGCCCAGCCGTCGGAATGCCGTCAGCCGGCCAATGGCGGGTCCCGCTTTTGCGTCGCGGGTGACGGCGGCGATACGACCAACTACACCACGTACGGCTATAATACAACTTTACTTACTACTGGCACCGCCACCACCGACGTCACCATCACCGTCACCGTCACCGTCACCGCCTCCACCACTGCTACCTCAAAGCCCGCCGATACCACCCCACCACACCCCACTACAACAACCGACAAGGCAACGACAGTAAAACAGTACCGCTCCGCAAATGAAGCGAATAATATGGACCGATCGGACGGGTGCCCCCGCCAAGGGGCTTCCAGGGAAAATCCCAGCGCGATGCACCACTGATTGCCGCCGGGACCTTATCAGCTTTCGACCAGCGCCCGGATTCGTTGTCCCAGACGACCGACGCCACCCGGCGACGTTTCGTCCACGACAAGTTCAATAATTATTGTTATTAGAAAACTCTTCTGGTCTTTAGTATTTATTATAATAATTTTTTTCGGTCATGAAGACTACAGATAGGTATCTTTTAAAATTCACCGGAGCAAATCTGTGTACATTTTCTCATGAAAAGGGAATCGGTTGAATTTGAAAATAATCAGTGCTATTTATACCGATTTTGGTCGAACGTTTCGTTCCGGTTTCACACCGGTTAATTTCCTCTCAACCACGATAACAAGATAGTTAAAAAATATCAATCTTATGTTTTCGTTGTTCTTGAGGTGGACTGGCTAGGGGTATGGGGAGATATATCTTCCAAGGCCTGTGAAAATTATATGATTATGGACCGGTCCAGGGCGTTAGTAGGTACTTTGGAAGTCAAATACCTATGAATCATAATTCATAATATACTATAAAAAATGTTTAGTAGATACATCCATTGATTTTTGACAATTATATCAAAAAAAATTTAAAACATGGTCAAGAWAATACGTAAAAAATAGGGAACAAATGCAGTTTAGCTCCCAAGCGATTTTTTGGAATTTTTTTTTAAATGTGTCTTTTTGCATGCCTAATTGATGGTACTTTGAAAAAAAGTCGGTCGAACATATTTTGGAAGTTATGGTAAAAAAACTTCAAAATGCTGAATTTTTTCAAAAATYGTGTTTTTGAATTTAAAATACCAACAATTTAAGTTTTTAGAATTTTTTTTTTTTGGAAATGTTTGTATTTATATGCTCAACATTTTTGTGGAATCAGAATTTGCCTATCGTACTTACTTTTTATGTTATTGTTAATAAACCACATCAAACTGAATTATAAAGTTATTTCAAACATTTCCATATTTGAAAAACTCAAAATTGATTTTTTTTCATTCGATGAGTAATAACATAAATAAGCTTTTGGTGAAATCAGAACTAACTTATATTTTTTGGTTTGGGAGATATAGATTAAAATAATAAGCAATAACAAATCAAAATGTTCAGGTTTAGATAATGTATATTATATTATATCAGTAACGTCGACCCCATCGTTGTTATATTTATTTGGATTGTATAAATTACCGGCTAAACGGAAAAATTCAATGATAGGGTCTAGATTTAATATACGGCATTTTTTTAAAAACATAAATTTTGCCATGTAGCCGCCATAGAAATGTTTTTTCCTTGCGAGTATTGAGACAGCGAAGCTTTTTCATGTCTCTACATTTCCTCGGCGGTGTTRGTGTGGCCGCCTGTATTTGGGTCTTTAAGGTTTACTGAATGATTCACTTTAAAATGTATGATGCCTTCATCATTCAAACAGTCGTAACTCTGCAATACAGTTATATATAAACAAAACGTAGTGTAACCGAAAAATAGATTGATAAAGTACATACTTTCCAACGATCGCTTATAAGTAGTATATATTTGTATGTTCACAGCCAGCTTTTCCACGGTAAAAATTTTTTTTCAAGTGGAAAATTCTACCTTGGAGCACAGTGATTTACCGCGTAACACAATACGGTAATTACACAAGATTGTCCACCTATTTGCCCCTTACACAAAAATATTTTCCGTATCAACTATTTTTTTTATTAGATTTTCAGTTTTTTTWAATTTTTATAAAAAAGTTTATTAAATAATTTGTGTTCTTTACTTGAAATATAATTTTTATAAAAATTAGCGATATTTAACTAAAAAAAAATTAAAAACGGAAAAAATAGTTGATACGGTAAATATTTTTGTGTAAGGGGCAAATAGGTGGACAATCTTGTGTAATCACCGTATTGTGTTACGCGGTAAATCAGTGTGCTCCAAGGTAGAATTTTCGGCTTGAAAAAAAATTTTTACCGTGGAAAAGCTGGCTGTGAACATACAAATATATACTACTTATAGGTAATAACTTTATTCAAAATAGTATATTTTTGRGATTTTTCTGACAACTATATTTTTAAATTGTTTATTATCCATAACATTTTTATATTTTTGTTCGTGTTTGAATAGTATAATTTTTTTTTTTTTTGTTAGGTTAGGTTTTTCTGTTACACTAGGTAGCACTAATAGGTATAATACACAGATATATAAAATTATTGTTTTATATATCTGTGGTATACTGGTATAATACTATATATGCGCCGCGGAAGAAACAGAAAGCAGATCCCGCGKCGTCGTCGGTTCAAAACTGGAAAAAAAAGTATAATACTATATAACGTATAGTATATAATACTATTTGCTGTTAATTTAATGACATCATTTTTAAAGGAGTGGTAATCTTTGGAATACCTCTCAAAATCCATCGAATTTGGAGATCAGTTAAAATTGTTATGACTACTTTTAAAAATTGTATAGAACTACATTAAATGTAATTGCTTTATAAATTAGAAAACATGGTTACAAGTTTGTAAAAAATACATTTTAGCTGCTAGATCTTCGCATCTCATCCCTGGTCTGAATCTGTGCCCCGGTATACATCTCATTGTAAGGTATTGTCCCCAACTCAAAAAGACTTTTTCTCATTTGTTATCGGTTTAATTACCTACCTATCATAAATAATAATTCTTGAAATGGGTAAACCGATTTAGTCACGAATATTTAATCTTTATAATTTTATAAGCTATAACTACTATAATTAACTTGATGAGACCTATTTCAAGTATGCAACTTTTACAGGGTATATTAGGGAAACACAATCCATACGTGCCAACGAACTATAATATTGCTATTATAGTATCTGTATTTTTCCATTTTCTATAACCTTGTGGCTTGTACGATAGATTTTCACTTTTCAGGTATGGTAATAGGAATGGAGGATGATTATTATTT